TTAATAACATCTGTTAGTTATTGAACTGGCCAATCACAAAAAGTTATTCCTCTGAAGAATAAAATAACTGTGTTTGGCCAGTTTCGTAACTACAGATGTTATTAAACCCGATTAAGAGTGACGTATGTAAACGTAATATATAGAACAGTCAATACAGAAAAGAGCAAATAATTTTTGTACGGACGTACAGTATAAATAAATGAATATGTATTTTTTTGCGGAAATGGGATGTTGGTAATGCCGTTTAGCGGTACAAAACCATTTTCTCCCTCGGTCGTTTGTCGATAAAATTTTCGAGGCGGGAAAGAGCTAGAGAAAAGGAGAGATACACGGGCCTCGCATACCGTACTTATACTTTCGAGAACCGATTCCCATTCCTACGTAATTGCACGTTTAAACAACAACCTCCTGCTGAGAAACCAATTGAAACGATAACGAAATTACATTGTCACGGGGAATGGGAGTATCCCGCGTCAGCCTGTACTGGCAACTTTGCATCAAAACTTTCTACCGCTGCGCGAGAGTAACCCTGTTAGATTGACGAACATTGGCCCCGAGGGGTCGCAAACTATAGACGTCGCGGTAATTGAAGGGTTCGCTGCGGGAGAGAGATAAGTCCATTCTGATACATTTTTCACAAGGACGATATAGGAAGATGGTCTGGAAATCTTCTTGCTGCGCTAAACATCACGCAGCGAGTCCAAATTGCTTATCGCAATTTCTAACATAGAGTATATATGTTAAGAATTGAACCTCACGTCGTTTTTAATTCAGTTTTCTTCACCGTTTTATCTAGTTTATGCTTTTCTTTGTGTCTGACTTGATCGCGCGTATGGCGATTCGTATACGCAAAAGGCGGCGACTTGTCGATTTGTCATGTGTAGAGTTGGACGCCAGAGGGGGGGGGGGTGAGAGGGGCATAACAAAATTTTCACTACACTTTCATATTAAGATCTCTTTATAGACCTTTTTATATAGATTTTTATATCAAGACCAACAGAATAATGAACAATGAAATTTTTCTAACAATAAATTCTTATAAATATTTTCGTTGAAACACATTAGAGCAAACGTTGAATTCCAGATATTGTTTTTTTATAATGAATTTAACTTTTTATAATGAATAACTTTAATAAGTGCATCAATATCTAAAGTCTCAGCAATATCAGAGTGTACATGCAATATAGCTACTAAATTGAACCTTGCTGTATTGTAGAACGCAAATTCGTTTTAAAATTATAAACTATTTTTGGGTCAACATTAGTTATTTTCAAAAAATGGTTTATATCTGGAATTCCACATGAAAAATTCTGATGTGTGAAGTACTCCACACACAAGTCGACGCCCGTGGTTGTACATACATGAGAAGATTGGTTTTTCAATTTCCAATATTTAATTTTCCTTTCAATATTATACTGTTTACCTAAATAAAGCTATTTATGAACCTTATATATACCTTTGGCAGTTCATAATTCTTCAATAAGAGTATAACGTATTAATACTAGAGATAGATCTAAATACGAACCGATACTAAATCGAAAATAAAATAGCATTCCTACTCTCAAAATTACATGCATTTGTTGCGGTCTATATTTTTTATTTAAAAAGAAATTTCGTAGATATTTATGACTCGGTTTAAGAACTTTATTGTGTGGAAATTCGCTTAAAATTAACTGAAAGATGACACTTCACCGATTTATTTTGCAAAAGTTTGAAATTTAATTCGTCTAACCTTTCGATTTTTTTACTCGTTGATATGTATTTCTAAAACTATCCATATATACTGTTTTCAAGAAAATTGTTTCAGCTCTTGCCATAAAATAATACATGTGCTTTATAAATACGCTCATTTTAAAACTTGTATAATCGTACATACATACGTATATATATATTTTCGTGTGATTACGTACGAGAGATTTGCCGTTGTTGTAAATGAAGAATTTAGCGCGGTGTTGCACGGAACGTTTCAATTATTTCCCTCGCTCGGCCGTGATCCGTTTTCGCCGTTGGGTCACGTACGCACGCGGTCAATTATTCACCTTGGCAGGAAGATTATCGATTTTTTTACATCATCAAGTATGAAAGTATATCAATCGCGGGGGGAGGAGAAGTGGCTCTTCGACGGACGAGGCGAGCAATAGGATGGAGGGGGGAGGGAGGAGAGGCGAAATACGGGAATATGAACGAGTGCGCGATACAAATTTATGTGAGAGAGCCGAGGCGCGATATCTGGTTGTTCGATACGCGTCCCTCGTTAAAAACGGGGAAGTTATCTGCTCCCTCGCACGGTGAGCTGCTGCGCAATTAATCCCGAGGTTGGAGCGCAAGTAAATCGCGGTTGGCCATTTTTTTTTCTACGCGCTGTAATTTACCGGGTAAAAGAGATACCGCGGAAGGAGATACATAAAATGAAGGGCGGGAGGGGGAGGGAGAGACGATGCGCGTTTTTGCTAAGAAATTAAATTGCGCCCGCACTTCGCGCGGGGTCGCGCGCCGAATCGCGGTGGTTCGTGCGAGATCTCTCCTCTTTCGTCTTTTTTACCCATTTTTGCGCGCGCGTGCACGCGCGCGCGGTCGGCAAATGCAATAAACTGGCCGACGGGAAGAGGAGTCACGTATTTATTTGTACACCGCATGACGAATGCGGCTAATCTGACTGCGGAGCTCCGGCCCGGTCGTTTTTCGCCGGGGTGAAATTCTCGGGGAAAATCACTTTATCGTTCCGCGCTTTTTCCCCCGATGAAGGGAGAGACGGTGGAAACGTCACGACCTATCTTTCAATTATACGCGCCCGTGCTCCGCGTTCGCGCTCGCATCCGAACGCAGAAACGGAATTTCAATAGCGATTCTGACGCGCCGATGCTGCAGCGACAATCTCGATTTTCCCCGGTGTAATTTTAGTGCAATAAACAGCATTGCAGATGGACGCGCTTTCGAAATTATACGTGTATATACCGTGCCAGGTTTTGGACACTGACATTTCCGCAGTCAAATATAAGTTCGTCAAGGAGATTGGCGTTCGATTTCGCGCGCGCATAATTTTCAATAATTCCGTTTTCGTCGAAACGGCGGGCGTGACTAATGTCCCCCGTTTGTGATGTTGCCGGCAAATTTACGGTTCACGTGTGCGACCCGCGTGTGCTCAATTAGCTGTATCTCGGCTGCGCGAAAGGGAAATGAGAGTCTCGCGTATTACGTCCGTGTGTACAAGATCGAGCGCTAATCGAAGTTAGTCGTCCAAGACCGGGGGAAGGGGGAGAGGGAGAGAGGGGAATAAAGTGCGCGCGATGACATTCGCCCGAACCTGATAATACCACGCAATAATTTCGTCCCCTCGCGTCTCTACGCGCTCCGCGCGGAATTCTCAATTGGCGCGTAATGCGCGCACATAAATCTAAAGTTACTCGGTAGTCTAACTCGGGTAGAATTTCGCGGCGGCGGCCGCGGCGCGGGTGACGCGGCGATTTGCAGGAATCGTTGTAAGTTTTTTGTGATAATGACAAACCGCGCCGCACCGCCGTGGACAGAGCTGCGCGATTTGCGCGAATCATGCGAGCGCCGCGCGGGCTTTAGGGAAGCTGCGATCGATAGCTGCTGCAGTAACGACTTTCCCCGACCGGTGAATTTATCTCGCGGCCGAACGTAACAATCGTTGCAGCGATTTGATGCCACTTGATGCGAAAGCGCGGTTATCAATTAAACGCAATCGATCGTACGGTAATTCATTCGTTTCGCGAGTATAAATCCGTCCTTCGCTCTTCGAGAGAAGGACGTAACATCGAAAAAGGGAGGGAGGACGTCGCGAGATTGGTCGCGCACGTGATAACGTTCGGCTCGATATAATGGCAACTCTTTCGTGGGCTTCCTCGCGAGCTTTCTCGGTTCCCGACGCGCCTTCCTCCTCCTTCTCCTCCTCCTGCTTCTCGGGCTGTCTCCTCGGAGAGGAGCGCATGCGGCTCTTAATTTTTAATTAAGCCGCTCCGCGCCGTGCTCTCGAACGTGCGCAACGCGCATAACTCCGCCGCGCGTTACCGGGCTAATTGAACGATCCTCCGGGCCGCCCGCCTAAGCGCGACCGGAAAGTTTAGACGGAAATTTATTAGCGCATTCCACTTTCGGAGATAAGTTATGCTCTTATTACGCGCGCGCGCCTCCTTCATATTATGCTTACACCGATCAGATGTGTATCTCCAACAATAAGCTCTCGTAGCGCTTCTTCCCGACGTCCCGCGAGACTTTCCTATCTGTCCTGCGTCCTGATGCCGTGTACTTGTACCGCGGATATGGATTTATGGTGGGTGGATTTATGGCGTGAATTTTTCCCCCCCTCCTTATAATAAGCCGACGAGAGCTCCGTTGTAACCGGCTAACGAGACCGACATTGATGAATGAACGCGCGACTTGACTCGGGTCGGATCTAACCGCGAGTATTACTACTGATTATAATACGAGGCCGCGGATTTGTTCATTGATTTATCTGCATCCGATATTATGTCTTCTCCATAGCTTATGGTATTATGCTGCATTGCATTGAGATATCGGCGCCAATCATATTTCAGCAAGCGTTTTGGAATTTAAAAAATTTTTATAGTACAAATTATATTTTATAGAAATTCTTGAAGAATGAAAATAAAAAAATCTCCAAAGGGTTGGAAGAAAAAAATGATCTAAAAGAGAAATAAAGTAATATTCAGAAAAAAATTCTTTTTTATTTTATAAAAATATCACATTAGAGTTTCGTGTCAAATTATGTAACTTCAACAATGCCTTTTTCTTATACCCTCTGTAAGGTGAGACGTTACATCACGAGATTTTCTTTAGACAAGTTGTACAAGATGTTATTAATTAAATAAAAATAGAAACTTACTTAAACGCTTGCTGAAAGATAAATGCGTTTGTTCTCGAAGTATACGAAGTACCAGACTGGCGAACGAAATTAAACGTAGCAATAAAGAAAAGAGAGGATCGTTAACTGGTTAAAAGCCTCGACTTTGCTTCAGGGTTGGACAAGCAACTCGACGATCGACAGACTATACAAGAGAAACACGGACCCGCCGCCGGCTATTGTGGACGTGAATAAATTCTACGATGACAGGGCGACGCCAGGTAAATAGCAGAGATTGCCGCTTGCTTCTCTCGCTGCTACCGGAGCTTGAATCTCCGTGCCGGTCTTCGTGCCGGTCTTTTGCCCCCAATATAGGTATCGCATCGGAAACACAACCGGCGCAGAACTCGAGGAATCTCTACAAGGAGGAGGTTCAGGTGTACGAGCTCACGGGCGGTGTCGAATTGGTACCTTTGTTAACCAGTAGACGCCATCAGTCGTATCCGCAGTCCAGCCGGTATCTTGCCACGGACGCCACTCGCCCGGGATACACGATAGAATCGTAAGTACCGGGGGTGTATCTGAATATTGACTCTTGTTTGTTTCTAAACTGATCGATTCGTCGCTCGACGAATGCAAAATGGTCCGCGTCGCTGCGCGTCTAGTCTGTAAATAAAACGACGAACTTTCAAATTCACGCTATAGTTCTGTTTTATATAATTGTTTAAATACAATTCCTTATTGTATTAATGAAATGTCACGTGATCTATTTTGTGTTTTTTTTATATTGATGAACTCGCGAGAACATTAACGCGTTATATGTATCTATATAACACGCTGTCCAATCGCATTCATCGCGTCACGTGAAACTGCAAACGTTGAAGGTGATAGATGTTGAGATGATAGGATAATCAATAAACAGTATGCCTGGATTGCCTGGTATAAATACGTAACTGGCTGTAATCACGTACATTTACTCATTACCGTAATTGATATTAAAAGCCCTTATTGTTGGCCCGCAATTTACTTGATGAAAATTTTATTGATCATTCATTTAGCCGAAAGTGCATTTGATGTTTCGCATCCCTCCGACGGAAAGATAATGTAGATATGCCAAAGTGCTAGAATTGCAATCAAATAAATCTAAATCAAACATCTTGTATATTATTACATATATTTTAAAACACATATATATTGTTACATATATTTTACAAATACAGTCTTGTAATAATAGATAAATATATATATATTATATAATAATAGATAAATAACTATATATGCATAAATATAAATAACTATACCTATATAAAGCATCTTCACAAATTGACGTAAACGTTTTATATTTAATGAAAAATAAATTTTAAAAAGTTTTATTGAAAAATAATTTCAATAAAATTGCTTTTTTATTAATTTATTTTTAGCCTTGGCTGTGTGTATAAAGCACATTTAATTTATTGCATTTTCTTGGAAAAGACGGTAATAAAAACCAAAACAGAATTAACGAAATATTAAAATTGTTATGAAAATAAATATTATTTTTCAATAAAACTATTTTTTAATTTATTTTTCATTAGTTATAGAACGTCAATTTGTGGAGATGGAGGCTTTATATATATATGATTATTTATGCTTTATATTTATAGCTACAAGAGAGAGACTGTTTGTTTAAAATATATGTAATATATGTTATTGTGTGTGTATATCGGTATTAATTTTCTACTTTATATTCCGAAACATTTATACCTACGTAACATTCTCCCAGGAGGTATTTCCTCCGCTTTTTATTCTCTCGTCCTCTTTTTTAATCCTTGACGTACTTCCTTTTTTTTCAATTTTAACAATCTGACGTGAAAGTCACCGGGGCACCTTCGTATAAAGCATATAAAATGAAAAACGAGACGGGTTTTAGAACGACGCGGGCGTGACATCGCACGTTGTTCGCATTTTGCTCGCGTAGTAAATGTCGATTCTCGGTCGTATAATGCCGCGTGCATTTGCAATTAATTTTTCATCCTGGGCGGGCCTCATAAGTATGACAAACACGGCAAGACGCGACGGTAACCGGAGAATTGGTTAGCGGCAATACGGCACTCGGGGGGATGTAACTGTATTACAGGTAATCAACCAATTGACCCGGATGCACCCGACCTCGACCATTTCACCTGTTCCTGCTCAATCTCACCCTCATTTTCCTCCCTGTGCGCTAACGTCGCTCCAAATATTCATCAGCATAATTTTTCCGTCGCTATTGCTAAAAGAATATTTTTCCATGAAGAATTTACTCCTTTTGAGGGAGAGTCGACTCTCTCCCTTTCACTCTGTCTCTCTGGGAAATGCTCGATCGGATGATTTTTACGTAAGCTTCCTGAATAAATATATCATTATAAAGCGGCAAAGTAGTGTTCTTATTTTAAAATTTCTCGAGAGAAATCCAAAACGTGAATTTCTTGTTCCTCGCGGAATTACGTTATGTACGTAGGTACTTGAAAAATCTGAATGTGAGATAGTAATAACAGAATTATGTTTGAATGTCTGACCATCTTTTATTTTCGAATAAAATTGTTCAAAACGCATTTTATCGCTCGGAGAGGAAAAACGGACATTTTCATTTTATTTTAGCTGGAAAACCAAATGTATATTGTGCCACTGAGACCGAGTGTTGTGAATAATACAGTTTTACAGGCTATACTAATCCAATTGTAATATTTTAAATTAAATGTATTAAAGAGAGAAAGAGAGTTGCGCTAACATGACTGTTAATACGACTGTTCCCGTCGTAAACATTTTTAACGTTTCAAAAGTTCTATTCAGTTGATTGAGTAATTAATGCAACTCTTCTCTGGCATTGCGTCCGATAGGATAATGCTGATTTATCGTTCGATAAATCTGCGTGTAAACGGTCGTGGCGGCCGGACGGCGCCGGCGAACAGAAGCAGCACCAACCTGACATGTAACGAGACACTTTGATAACGTTTAATGGAATAGCGTATGAGAGAAAGTTGCGTTACCGGAGGTGCCGCACGGCGTTGTTTATAACACAGTTGGCCGACATTCAAACGCTCTGCGGCGCGCCTCTAGTAATTAATCACCCTCGATTATCTGTCACCGTGCGGCGATTACCCAAGGAAAAAAAACGGCGGCGGCGCGTAAGCCCCGGGGGTGTTATTCACTTAAAAAAAAGAGGCTTTTTACCGCGCTTTTATTTTGTATGTTCCCTCGTTTTTTTTTTAACTACGGTACAATCGCGAAGGCACCTCGGTACTGCGGGCGCAAGTATTTAATTTGGCGACACACACACATACCTACGCGAGAGAGGATCGATACGATGCGTTCGATTGGTTCGCGCGCGTTCCCGAGTATACCCGCTATGCGAGGTATTCGCGCGAGTTATGAGCGCGAAGTCGTTAAAGACTATTCAAAGCACCGAGAGAAAATACCGATGAGCCGTTCGGACGGAAAGCTTTTTTTCATGCCAGTTAACTTAATTTAACGTATGACTCTGAAATGAATCAGAGATGGATCAGCATCTACTCGCGTGGATTGTATCGCCTGCAATATTTACGGTTCACGACGGTGCAGACACACGTGATATCATTTATGGCCATTTGTGTTATTTTTAGCGTGTCAGAAAATGTGTCTCTGAAAAATGTAACAATATACAGAATTAGAGGGATTTTCTTCTAAGAAAAGTAAAAAAATACAGGAACACATAATTGACTAGTGAAATCAAAAAGAGTTTATACATATTTTTGATGTTTTAATATTTAAAAATCTTTAATTTCTTAAAGGCATGATGACTCTCCTTCTGCATACAGAGTGTCCCGAAATTCGCGAATTAAAATATCATAGCAAGAAAATCTTCAAAACATTAAGTAAAAGGGTTATTTGTAAATTTTTATTTTAAGCAATAATTTTTGAGATATAAGAGTTTAAATTTAATCAATTATTATGCGCTTGAAGTGCGCGATCACTAACACTTATTGACGCGTTCACGGACATGTTTCCGTGTAATCGTGATCTATAATTGGCTAAATTTAAACGCTTATATCACAAAAACTACTACTTAAAATAAAAATTTACAAATAACTTTTTTACTTAATTTTTCGAAGACTTTCTTGTTATGATATTTTAATTCGCGAATTTTGGGACATTCTGTATATCTGTGTGGGGTGTACATCTTTTTCTACTTTTACGCAAATATATAAGATCTACGCCACTTCCGAACGGTCTGTTAGAGGAATTTTTATGATAAAATATTCTCGATAATTTGTATTGTTTTCTGGGAGAATAATTTTTTATTATCTTAAAATTGTGTATCTAAATTATATAATTATTTATTGTAATTTTTTTTGGAACTCGTCGAAGTTTGTAGTTTGTATATTTTTCTTCGTTCGTCACGGAGGTGCCTCCTATCCTCCGAAGTAAATCGAATATTTTATTTTCAATCGCATTCCACACACTTACATCCGGATCCTTCCGTCAGTCTCATTCGTATTCCATCTTCACGTTTTGGGTGCGATGATATTAAATAGTTCGCTCAAGGAAACCCAACGTGGCTCGCCCTAGATTGTGCTACTCCCTGTGGAACCTTTATTTCCCGTAATCCGCGCCCCGGTGTACGTGCCCCCGTCATTTCCGCGGGGGCGCCGTGCCATCAAAGAAAGGATATGAAAGCTGAGTGTGACTGGCGTCTCTCTCTCTCTCTCTCTCTCTCTCTCTCTCTCTTTCTTTTATAGGCTTCGCGCGCTCGGTGTCGGCAATCGGGAATACATCGCGGATCTCGCCGAGCAAATACGACGTAAGCGGGACAGGGCGCTGGTAAGTGCTGTATGATCGATGACAATTGCGCGGCGCCGAACGGTAATTCGAAACGGAATTAATTGTACCGATCTCTCGGCAATCTCGTTGCCGTCTGTTATATCGAATCATATTGATTACACGCGCAACCCATGTACCGACACTGTGGATGATGAAATCAAGCGGTTCATAAGGAAACTCGTTAAGTTTATAGAAGTAAACCAAAAATAAAAAACTGCAGGATTTAAATCGACTTAAAAATACTTTGTTTTTAATATCCGATCAATTTCAACTCATCCCATTATTTTCTATTATTCCGTAAATAAAATAAAAAGATTTCGTGTGGCTTTTTTAGGATTATTTTTATACAGACATTTAATAATGCAATCCGTTAACAAATATTAAATCAATATAGTTTCCACAGAAAGCTGAAATAAAAAAAAGTGTTTTAATGAAAATATTTTTAAAATCCTGTTGTTAATATTTATTAGTAATTTATCGATTTTTTTTTAATGCATGGTACTTAAAACGTACTTATTTTATCTCTGAATTGCATATTTAAATCCGTCTTTTATTCACTAGTTTACAAAACGGAACACCCAAAGTCAGTATTGTATTTCGCTACTATGTTTGGGCTGGGTTTGCATGGGATATCTTTCTTTCTTTCACTCCCTCTCTAAGGTTACAAATCATTCCGTGCTTGGATCTCGTTTCAGGAGGAACGGCGGATCGAACAGGAGAGTTGTCGCAGGCACTTCGATACTTGGAAAAGGCTATGGGGTAGACCGGGCCACGGCGCCCCCATAGATCACGCGCAGCGGAACAATCTCTACAACATCCTCCATCGACCGGCTATCTATTGAATTTCCCCGTAAAGCGTTTCGCCTTCGTGCGAGCGTAAAAGCGGAGGTGAAGTCTCTTCTGCAAAATGCCGTCTTTTATTATACGAAACGAATAAGAAGTGGAGGGCTATTAGATACCGGCGACGCAACGCGAGATAGGTAGTATCGTTTCCACAGGGGATGGTACATGTATACCGAGACGTATACATATATAAATAACTCCCGATTCTCTTTTCGGAGAATAATCGTGAAGATGCGCGCGATATGCATAATATCTATCCTCATTGAATGCAGATTAAAATCTCTAATATGCGAACCGTTTATTTTCGCACAGTCACGTTATATCAAGTTTAATTCTGTAACGAACGGGATGTAAGTCAAATTTGGATGCCGTCGGTTCGACGGTCTTAATAAGATTTCAATAAAGATTATTTACATCTTCAAAATAAGCCGTTCATAGAGTAGTAGTGCATTTTAGAAATGTTGGAAGAAAAATATATATAAGTAAATATATTATAGTTTGTATTAAATTTAAAGTATTTTTCAACGCTAATATTCGATGTACAACCACTATAATAATTAAAGTCAAATTGTGGCCGAAGAAAAGAAGATAGTAAAAGATTGTACACGAGAGGTAGTGGAGTGGGAAAAAAATATGTTAGCGTCGGCGTCCTTTGTTTCTTATGAACCGACTTGACGTGAAAAAGCGAAGAGTAAATCGGACAACCTATTAAATTTCATGAAAGCCTTGCAAGGGAGTGAAGGGCAGCTTGATAAACCAGGACTGTGAGTGCCGCCGCGATTGACCAGACCTCTCAAAGGAGCAATCTCGTGAGAATCTAGTTGCTGTATGCGGGTCGATAGGTTTTAAATTTCATGAACGCCAAGGAACGGTCATTTGAATATATGTATGTATAGGTGCATGTGGTAAACGCTGGGCGCTCCGTGAAAGAAACGTTTCTCATCATCAGTCATCGTGTCGCGAGATTCGGCTACAGTGTGTGTGTGTGTGTGTGTTACTTCTACGCTCCTCTTATCTTTATCTAAAGGAAATTCATGTAATTTAAATCTCCTGACTTGGAGACGCTTGCAAAACGACAGCTCGTAAACTTTAAAATTATAGAGCTAACAATAAGTAAAGTATACACTAGAACTGCTTTTTTGACAATGTTTACGTTAGCTATTTATTGAAAATTTAAATTTAATGACTAATGAAACAACTTTTTTTCTCAGTTGTTGTATAATTTAAGCTGTTAAAATTACATTACATATATTATAAAACGAGAGCGATATTTAAGAAAAAAATCATTACGACACAGAGAAGTGTAATTTTCTACGATTTTGATTCTGAATGTAAACGACAATTCTATTTTGATCTCTGATAACTTATTATAATTTTTTACCACGTTGTTCGTAACTAGTTGTAGTAATTAATTAAAGCTTATGGAGCGTTTTAAGGCAGTGCAATTTCGGATAAGCACGCTGCTGTGTTTGCGGTGAGATGCATTTTTAATGACGTGGCTTGATGGCGTGTAAAAACGTGTATAAAACGGTTTCAGCAATTGTTCGCGCTGATCTGAAAATATGTTTGATAATCTTAAATGTTGTGTTAAAAGAGGCTAATACGTTTACATTTATATTAAACAATCAACGAAGTCTATTAATTTATTGCTTGACCTTTATTTAATTACTTTGGCGCTATTAAGTGTGTCATTTATTGCGAAAATAATGTAAATTATATTTTACGCTGTTAAAAAAAGTTCAACAGAACGCAGATGTAAAGTATGGTATGAAATATTGATTTTAATATAAGCTTCTCGAGACTGTGCTTATTCACGTGACTTCGAAATAAGTGACGATAAATAGTACCCGCGAGAGCATCTCGAAAAGATTGCGCATTCGGATTAATAAGAAAATTTTTTTTGGAGAAATCTTAGCCGTAAATGCGTTAAATAATAGATCTTGTAAGAGGTGATGCGATTTACATCTTTAGAGAGAGAGAGAGAGAGAGAGAGAGAGAGAGAGAGAGAGAGAGAGAGAGAGAGAGAGAGAGAGAGAGAGAGAGAGAGAGAGAGAGAGAGAAAGAGAGAGTGAGACACAACAGCACGATGTCGATCGCCGAAAATACCGTGGTGAGAATCGACGAAATCATCGGGAATTATCTCCGCGACGCGTAAGATTCATCTAAAATTCAACAGAATAAATTAGATTTCGTTATCGGCAAGAGTGATTAATCCTCTTTTCGACCAAACGACATCTACTATTTTCAACTTAGACGCGAATAGCGCTGTCGCGTAAACGATGAGGAGGAGGAGGAGGAGGGGATGGGAGTGGAGGGAGAGCGGATTCGAGGCGAATCATAAATTATCGATTCGCTCGCGACGTTCGTTCGCGCACTTGCCTCGCTCTTATCAGGCGATTTGCGTAATACGTTAATTAGACATTAAGTGCTCGGTAACCAGGTACGAACCCGGAAGAGTAACGGCAACGCCTTTAATGGATGTGGGTTATTTAATTTGCGCGGGGAAAGGAAGGGGGGGAGAGAGAGATGGGTCGGGGTGATGTTTGGTGGTGCGGCTCGGCGCGGTTTGTACGCGGAAAGGCGCACCTTCATCCCGCTTCCGTCTGATGAGAGAGAGAGAAAGAGAGAGAGAGAGCGCGCAGTTTCATCCCACCGTCCTTCCTCTCTCGTCCTTCCACGATCGCCTTCCCGTTCTCCACGCCACCTGTACGCCACCGTTACGCGCTCCGTACACGCAGAGGGAGAGAGAAGCGACCCACGAAATCTCCCACCCTTCCCCCTGTGCGCATCTCCCGTTCTCGCATCGTCCGCCACCTCTCCTGCACCCCCTTCCTTCCCTCCCCCCTCGCCCACCGTCATCCAGTCCCTTTCGCCCAGCCAGCAGCCAGCAACCACCCGCGCTTTTGCTATTGTCTGACTATTGTGCCGCTGTTACCGCGGTGTGTCGGTTCGTTTGTATAAGGGTGATTCATTTTCTGGGAAATATCAGTTCCTGCGCCGCATGAATTTCGACTCACGCGAGCGCGTAAAATCGCTGCGCGCTGCGAGGGAGGACTCTTCTATCTATCTCGCTCCTCCTTCCCTCCCTCTCTTTCTCTCTCTCTTTCCAACTATATCTCTCCTCTCGTCCCGTTGTCGGGCCGCGAATTAAGCCTTCTGTGGACCCTTCTCCAGACAAACACATAAATGCCATGTATATTCACTTCTCGGAGACGCTATTTCACCTGGGTAGAGCGGTGCTTTATTTCGGCGAGCATATTCCCGCACCGCGGGAGTAATTTTGTAAATTAAAATTGCGTCTTTCGGTACTTCGTTATCATCTTACGAGCTCGTAACTTTCGTGGCTACCGCGACTAAAGTCGGTCGTGAGGTAATTAGAAATTACGGGGTCTAATGGATTTTAATGGACAAATCGCGAACGCGCGCGGATGCCGCGCGGTGCGGGTGGTATTCGACGTGAAACGAATTACGCGGGGGCGGATTCTCTCTCTCTCTCTCTCTCTCTCTCTCTCTCTTGCGTTTAAACCGCGCAAGATATAAATAACCGTCGTCGGTGCGCTCATAAACCGGTGCCCTTCTAAATTGCGGAACCCCCCAGTGCTCTCGCCAGTGCACTGCAGCCCGGTACAGCGTTAAAACGGCCCGCCTCTCCCATCTCCATTTTCTCTACCCTGCCCCTGTTTGTTTGCGTCTCGTTTGCACAGGGGGGTTCCGCGCGCTCGCGTCGGTGGCGGCGGCGGGAGGGGGGGGGGTGTGCATTGTTACGAAATTGGGTCGTCCGCTTACTGCAATGAGATACGCGCGGACTCGTCCCGGTGTCGCGCGCCATGAAAATTGGTCGTGCAGCCTGCAGCTCTCGTCTCGTCTTTCCCGTCGTGAAAGAAGGCCGGACGAGAGAGCTGTGAAGAAACGGCGAGAACGGTAATTCTACCGGGGGAAAAGTTCTGGTTGAAGCTGTCGCGCTCTCTCTCCCTTCTCTCCGCCGGAATACGAAATTGACAAATGACAAATAGTCGGAACTGTAATAATTTAGGAGTATGACGTTTGAAGCAAATGTATCCTTCGTGTAAACTGCTGATAAATACAACGCCCGAGAATATTTCTCAGCACGTAAAAGTGTCTTGGGCTCATTTCTATCGATGCAGATTAATTTTAATCTTAATTTAATTTATTCTGCTATCCTATGACAAATTTTAATAATTTGACTTATATTTTCGACATTTGTATATATACACATCTTATTTATGATTTTGACTATCAAGCTGATAATATCATCCACAATGAGAATTTGTCTCTTCAATTTCTGTCTAACGCATTGATATAAATTTAACAGTAAGCTAACGTTTTATTTATTTGTTCTTATTCTTTTTACAATCTTATAACATTTTTTTACACATTTGAACTTTCATGTTCCATATCTCTAACTTTTTATAAGTCTGAATACTGCACTTATTCTCGCCATACAGTGACAACTTAATTACCTTATCTCTTTTAATTTTGGATGACATGGAAATAATTTATATCAGAAGTTTTTACTCATTGACAATTATTTTAACTGGATTTACTTGATAGATTATTTATATACACAATGTGTCTGATTTGAAATGTTCTATTCTTTTCGTAATTTTTTGAATAATTTTTTAAACAATGCTCTAATAACTTATCATTATATTCAATCAATATTTAGAATAGAAAATAATATTTTTAACAGAGATTTTGTTCGGCTGAAGAGAACTTCGTATAATTGAAACATTCTGAACTCATTTACGTGTGGTTGAAATAAATTAAATTTATAGTTCTACAGTTTCATTACTGCTTGAAATTGACTTTTATTTATTCATTACGTTAATTTATTCTTTATCTTTTTCTAATTTTTAGAGACAAGAAGACATAAAGTAAATTAAATTGAGATTAAAGTTAATCTACTAATTAATAGAAATGGGTATTAGAAGTGACCTTGGAGCCTAAGTAAAACTGAGGATCGTGTCAATGTGCTCAT